GAAGAAATTAGCTGTCTGGGTGTATTTAGGAGCTTGAACCCCTTTCAAATGATCTAATGCAAGCTCTATACGAGCCTCTAAAGGCATATCATCGATGTTTGAAGCCATAATGTTGATATTTCCAAAGTCGTGCACGTAGTAGGGACGTGCACATAGTGGGGAAATCGGTTACCAACACCAAATTTGAGCTAGTAAATATCAATTCAATTAATCCAATGTTATCTTATCGCCGAACAGCCTCGTATCTCCTTCAAGCACCAAGGCGTCAGTATCAGATGCTAAGTCATTGCCTTGAAAGTGTCATTTTTGCTAATACTCGTTCTTCGTTTTAATCTCATCTCGCGTCTCATCGCCTATTTCTAGGAATCCCCTATTTATCCATACAATAATTATTACACACAAACAGAAGATCATTCCATCCATTCCACCGAATCAATTCCTAACTCCCTCCAAATAATCTTGATATCATGAATGAAAACCGATCTTCAATCTTAATCCCATACCTTACTAATCTATCTCCCTCCAAAGAATCGGCTTCAAGATTCTAAACTGTAGTCCTGACTTTTCCAGTACTAATCATCAAAGCGGCAAGTTCCTTCACATTAGTACTTCCCCAAACACCATCTGCACCCCCCTTTCTCCATTCATCGCTTGTAGCATCCTCTCCACCGCCTCTCATTCCATCACCAGCAATGATTTCCAAATCTCTCTTTTGCGAACTGATCCATTTTCTAATAAATTCCGTAGGATTTTTCGAAAGGGCATCAAAGAATGAGTGTTTTGATTTGGAATTAGCAATGGCTTGGACCATGACCGCGAGTTGTTTATCTAACGTTGCGAGCTCAAGAAGATTGGCAGCGTAAGCGGGGTTTCTGGTGGCAGCTTCGAGGGCAGCTTTCAAGGGATCCTCCACTGTTACTTGCACGTCATAGATCGTTGGTTGAGGGTTTTCGTGAAACTCTTTGTCTACACGGATAGTGTAATGGAGACGAACTGGCTGGAGAATTGTAGTATGTGATATAATGGCATCACCAAGCTGGGGCCAATACCCTTTTTCTCGACCTGGGAAAAGCTATATAGTGTTAGTGTGGATAATCGGAAAAATCTAGTAATCAACATACTGGTCTGAGTCTCTCGTCAAGCTCGAAAGTTCTCTTTTCATCATCGTCTGCAAGTCCCATGGCTTTGATATAACTCCAGATACCCATTGTGACTTCTTCACGAGTACCAACATTAGTATCCAAGATAGCTGCGAGAACCGGACTTAATTGGAATCTTTCGGGTGTTTCATCGCGGACCAGGTTGATAACAATATTGCAATTCTCATCGCCTGACCTTTTGAATTCTAATTGGTCAAAGTCTGCAGCTGCTGGAAGACCATTGGCATTTGGCGCAACACTAGGTTTCTTCCACTCCACACTCTGATCTGCTCCGTCTTTGGTTCGTTGATTTCGATCAAAGTCGACTGTCATAGATTTAAAGAAATGTGAAAATCTATAAAGTCGTCCCGGAGGTCTCGTCTTCTTCTTCTTATCCACATCCATTGAATCGGCACCCGCTTCCGCTTCCGCTTCCTCATCCTCGTCATCGCTATCATCACTTTCCTCCTCATCGTCATCCAATAATCTTCCTTCAATCTTAACCCGAAATGAAGAGTCCATATTGGTGCTGAAATCAAAAGCATCGACATCCAATGTATTATCTGATTGCCAAGGTTGATCTTCCACAGTATTACTGATCCAAAGTCTTAACGTTCGATGTCTCTGTAAATAATCAGCCCTACCCGGACTGGCCATACTCTTGATAACAAACCTTAACATTCCTATCCACACTTTCTCGGATGTCCAGTCTCTTCCTAGTCATTGTCGCATCCAATCTTCTTTCAAGGTCTCTCAACTCTCTATATCTCTGCACACCATCCCCAATAACCACATCCTCTACTCCGTCTGGAATGTTTTTATCCGTTGGTTCGCTTGCTCTCTTTTTCGCCGCTTCCTTTTGCTTGAGGATAAGCTGCTGCTGCTGTTGATATTGTTGGGCCGACATTTGTTCTCTAGTTTGTGCGGCGGCCGCAGGTGCTACAATTGCGCATTAGCTCGGTCCAAGATGATAAATTTATAAACTAGAGTACATGTTTTTAGCAACACAGGACAAAATTTGACTTGATGAATTACAGGCTGAGAAGAGAGATATATTGTTTGAAAAAGAGGACTCGTTGATGGGAAAATCAACGTTCAATATGAGATGACTGGGCGCAATATTTGTTTTGTGCATATACATACCTATACCTCTTCTATTACCACCACCGTGAGACGCCCGTGAAGGTGTCCCTTGTTGATAGGAACGGTATTGCGCCTGCATCTTGAAGACTACAGATGCGAATTGGCGCTTGGGGAAGGTTCAATGATTGGGCCAGATAATAATCTAAAATTGGAATTTGCGACCTTTCAGGTTCTTTCCCGGTGAGACTGTTGATGCAGAAACTCTGATTTGTTCCGTTGGACACTCCCGGAGGTCAACTTGATTAATAGTTACAATTACTTCTCAGCCTTTCGCGTTCAAGCGCGACGGCCACTAGTCTGGATTTGGCTTAGATCAGCGATGTCAATTCACCTCAAGTACCGGTACAAGCATGCATCAGCCTTTTCTTTCTCCAAGACAAAATGCAAATGCCATATCACTAGACCATTGGTTTGGACACTGATTGTATTTGATTTCCTTTCTTATTTGAGACTTCATGATCTATCTTTGAAATTAATAGCACCACAATTGTAAAAACGCCTGTGCTGTGTACAATGATCGCCGCCAATCCGTTCATCATTCATTCATTCAAAACCTAATGCTCCCAACTCCGATTATGCTGATGTCGTATCCAGCAATCAATGCCCACCCATGTGTCTCATTTCATCAATGTCTATCGACTCCTCTCTAGCTTCTTCCTTCACCTTCTCCATTTAACGACCCATTAAAAGTGCAGGCTTTTGAGCCGGCTCAACAGGTTGTGGTGGCATTCTCTCTATCTGCTTGATCAAGAACTCTCTCTCGTCAATGAATTGCTCATCATCTGTACGATCTTCTAAGAAATGTTTTAAGAAATTCAATAACCTTTCCCGGTTATTGAGCAGTATCCTCTGTACAGCCATGGATTTATGTGGGTTTGCCACAAAGACTTTGAAGACATGGAATCCTTCATATTGTACCATCTTCCTCTCATCCCGAAGAAGATTCATGCAAATCTTTAAATGTTCTCCTCTGTCAACATATGCTGTCATGACAGCATAATTGGCTCGGTCCAGAAGGATCTCACCAAGAAGTTTTATGGACTGCCTTTTGGTAACATAACTTGCTGATTGGACTAGAATATTGTTGTACTTATCGAAAAACATATCGAAATTTGTTGCCAAATATTGTGCTACAATTTGTTTGTGCTTGGTCAACAGTTCCTGTACCTGCATTAGCTTTATTCTTACCAAAATGAATGCATTGCTTACCCTAAAAGTTGTGAAAGCATCTGCTCCAACCTCGAATGATCCTTGGTCGATCCAATTGAAGAATTTCCAGAAGACTCCCTCTCCAGTCTGTTTGATTTCGGGTTGTATAGCAGTCAAGCCCTTTGTGCTAGCATCTCCCTCCTTGATATCGTTGTACAGAATGATTGCCGCTGCAGCATCACTCTTTAGAACCTCTCGTAGAACTGTACCAGCAGGTGTAGCACTTTCTTTATGTTCGTAACCATTGCATAGTTCAACCAGTACTTCCGGTCTATTATTTATAACATAACTAAGCGCCATAGGTTCACTCTTTGGTGATGCTGTTGCGGGTCGGAACCGTAGGACATAGGAGAATATAACCTGGGCGTCTTTTCTCGATTCGAAGGGAAGACGATATAAATTAACGGCGAGGAGGTAAAGTAGATCTTCCTGGATCATTCCAGTTACAAGCTGATGTACTTGCTCGGGGGTGCTTTCTATTTCTGAGAGGGAATCAGTAATTTGCAGCAAGGCAAGTCATAAATGAACAAAATAACTAACCCTGTGTTCCTTGTAGGATGAATTTCATTTGAGATAGAGCTTTTGCCAGCTCTTCAGCCTGTTGAATAGTCAGTTCATCCATAGTTTACTGCTGATCCCAATGCGCCAAAAATATATATACCTTCACAGCACCTCCAGGGCCATCGAGCTTCAATATCAAGTCTCTGGCCTGCTTCGATAGATCCACCGTATTGGGACGCGGCTTTCGCCCGAATAGAAAGGACATATTTCGTACTGGAGGTCAAATTGTTTGCGATTATCTTGAGCTTCTCTTCTTGTGTTTACGGTGGCTCGATCAAAATCCGATGTGTTGGCATTCAACAAGGATTTTCCAAATAACTTGTGAAATTGGCATGAACATGTATGAGATCATTTGTCAATATCGTGACATTTTTAATATGTAGTTGAACCGTTTTTGAAAGATGTATGCAATCATAATATGATTTCATCCTAGGACCTTCCTTCCACTTTCCATCGAACCTTAACCTTACCAGTGTCTACGATATTGATATTTAGGAGTTTTCCCGAAGTTTAAGCGAACCATCCTGGTTTATTTCCCCGGCAACGTTAACGATGGGATGTTCATTGTAGAAGTCTTTGGTTTTTGATAGATGAAGTTTATATTGCATGGTTTTCTTTCAATCATCAATCTGTTATCGAGAACAACGATAGTACATTCTTGTTATGGTGTTATGGGTGCAGATAAAACAATCATTAATTTGATACCTGTTCATCTTCTTCAATCTATCTGATGCATTCCGGAGAAGTTTCCTATCCTCGACTCTTATCATGGAAAAACACGTGCTGATAGTGAATTGATGAAGAAAAAAAAATCCTCAATCCCACATGAAAAAAATCCAGATGATTTTCGAGTAATCAATTTATTTACATTTGATATCTCTTTACCAGAATCTCCGTTATTATTGTTTTTTGACAAAAAAGTGAGAATTCGATATAAAATCCTATAAAATGTCTGCCCAGGTTCCCGATATCGAGAAGTATGCACCATCAGATTCTGGTAGTTCTGAGGCGTCTGATATCCTTGATTTGAAAGATGATGAGGGATGGGAAGATGCTGAGCCAGAAGAAGAAGAACAAAACCAATTTGTATCATTATTAGATGATGAAGTTTTCTCTGATATGATTGCTATGATTCAACATTGCAAGGAGAAGTATGGCTTTGATTTCTTAGAAGTCAGACAAAGATTGGGCCTAGACTTTTATGGCAGTATCAAACTTACCAATTATCTAAGATCCAAGACTCAAAGTGGTGAGAAGCCTTCTCAAAATATTTCCAAGGCCGACTTGGAAGATGAGAAATACCTCAAGCCAGTTTTGGAGGATGATGCTTTTCTTTTCTGCCTCGATGATCTTCCTGATATCGTCGAACAAAATGAAGGCACAGGAAATGGCAAGGAAGTCGAATCCGGGCCCCTCGTCGCTCGTGTATTTGAGTTAGAAGAAGAGCTCAGAAGAATTCAATCTCAATTTGAAAATTACAGAAACACTGTCAATGAAACTCTGGATGAACGTTGGAACAAGTCCGCGGGACCTTCTGAAGCCAAAAAGGAGGAGAAGCGAGATGATGATAGCCAATATTTTACGTCTTATTCATACAATGGTTAGATATCTGCCCACTTTCCATTCCATACTGCCTAACTAACGTCTCTCAGATATCCATGAGACCATGCTGAAAGATACTGTTCGTACCGATGCCTATCGTGACTTCATCTACAACAACAAGTCTCTTTTTGCCGGAAAGATTGTTTTGGATGTAGGATGTGGCACAGGTATTCTTAGTATGTTCTGTGCCAAAGCTGGTGCAGCTCGAGTGATTGGTGTCGACAATTCAGATATCATTGAGAAAGCCCGCGAGAATATATTCAACAACGGCTTCGCCGATAAAATTACTTTACTCAAGGGTAAAGTTGAGGAAGTCATTCTCCCTGTTCAACACGTCGACATTATCGTTAGTGAATGGATGGGCTATTGCTTGCTGTATGAAGCTATGCTCGACAGTGTCATTTGGGCACGAGACAAGTACTTGAAGCCTGATGGTTTAATGGTTCCAAGTCACATGAACATGTGGGTTGCTCCCGTTGCTGATCCAGATTACGTCGCCGATCACATCGATTTCTGGAGAGATGTTTATGGATTCGATATGAAAGCAATGCAAGCCGGAATTCATGACGATACACAAGTCCTCGATATGCCAGCTAGTACGATCTGCGGCGAGCCCTTCCCATTCTTGCAATTAAGTCTGCACACAACCACAGTCAAAGATCTTACTTTCAAGAGAAAATGGGAGTCGAAGCTCACCCAGGATGTCGACACATTGGATGGCTTCATGATTTGGTTTGACAGCTTCTTCATGCCCTCACGAAAAGACGAGGTTCCTGAGAATGCAAAAGCTGAGGAATGGGCCAAGGAAGAGAAAAAGGGAGTTGCATTTACAACAGGTCCAAGAGCTAAGGTAACACATTGGAAACAAGGTGTGTTGCTCATCGATACTGCTAAACATCAGCCAAAGGAACATAAGGCAGGTGAGCAAATCAGTGGAGAGTTAGAGTATCTAGTTGCCGATGATTATTCAAGAGCTCTAACTATCGGCATGGACTGGAAGTTTGATGGTGAGGAGGCTGCCAAATCTCAAACGTGGAAGATGAGATAAACTACTTGGTTGGTAGATGAAATGATAAAATGGGATGATTTGCTGAAGTCAAGCGTACCATAAAACCCTTGGCAGTAGGGTACAGATTGTCAGTTTCACTGAGCTTGGTCTTGCAAGAATAGCTCTTGCTGGAGTAGCAAGTCCATACTTAGGGAAAAATTGAGTATAATCGTAGTTTAAATAAAGTAGATCTCCACAACCATTTCCCAAATTATATGCTATTCGTGTGACTTAAAGATTTCAATGTTCGACACCCCGAACATGAATGAATTCTAGCTAGTATTTGCGAATTTTCCTTTTCAAGAAACTTCACTTGAGAATTCTTGGTGTATTTATTTTGATAAATCATTTCCATTGTTCTTTATCTATCCGAATTGAAGATATTTATAACCATCAATTCTTTTACTCTCTTTCGGAGATATCTTGGAGATAAGCTCGGGAGATAGGTAATATGCATGACGAAATATGATCCCTACCTCATTGTAATCGCGTATCCCGGCATTGGTCAGCGATAGGTATCGACCATAACCTTTTCTGCTCATTGTTTGAACTCGCTACCAAACGACCGATGATGGCTATATCATTCATTTGTTCCGGCTAGCGTGGTATTCAGACGGCAGCTATATCGCTTCCATGTACATATATATATCTTTATCGACTGATTCAATCCATCAAGGTTATCGACCGACTCCACAACAACAATGGCGCCCGATAGAGGCACAACACAGTCTCCGGACTACCAATCAATCTCCACTCGCACATCTGAAGACAACGACAATGCACTCCGTCGTAGACGAAGCGAGCAACGAAGGTTCATAGCTGTACATGCGGAAGAAGGACAGAATTTCACAGTGCGAGGTATACTTGTTGGACTCGGCGTCGGATTGATAATATGCTTTTCCAATATGTATTTTGGTCTGCAGACCGGTTGGGTTTCTTCCATGGCCATGCCGGCTTCCCTGATCGGATTCGCATTCTTCAAAACTCTGTCGAAACATCTTGATTTACCATTTACGCCGGTGGAGAACGTATTAGTTCAAACGGTCGCTGGATCAATGGGAACAATGCCATTGGGTTGTGGATTCGTGGGGGTTATGCCAGCATTAAATTATATGTTGAAGAAGGAGGAACAGGGGCCAATTTTCTTAAGTACTTGGAAACTTATCCTCTGGTCGTTGGGATTGTGCTTTTTCGGGGTGGTGTTTGCGGTTCCGTTGAGACGACAAGTTATTATTAAAGAGAAATTGAAGTTTCCATCCGGTACAGCGACTGCGTTGATGATTGGCGTTTTACATGGTAAAGAGACGACTGCAGGTGGACCGCCTGTCTCGACTTCCGAAGACCTAGATGGGATAGACGGTATGAACGAAAGAGAGTCTAGAAATTATACAGATGAGAGTGTGGCGGATGTTGAGGAGGTGAGCAAGGCTGAAAGTAGCAGCTGGAAATCAAAGGTTAAGTTGTTAGTGATGTCATTTGGAATATCAGGACTTTATACACTTGGAACTTATTTCTTTCCCATACTGCGGAAATTACCAATTTTCGGAACAGCAATTGCGCAAAATTGGTTATGGACTTTGAATCCGTCCCTCGCATACGTTGGACAGGGAATCATTATGGGTCCAGCGACAACTACACATATGCTTCTTGGAGCTATTGTTGGCTGGGGAATACTCTCACCTCTCGCGAAGAATAGGGGTTGGGCTCCTGGGCCAGTTAGTGATTGGGAAACAGGAAGTAAAGGCTGGATTGTTTGGATTTCGTTAGCTATAATGTTAGCGGACTCTGTGATCAGTCTTGGATACATTGCCCTCAGCCCTTTGATCAATAATAGCGGAGATTTTGCTAGTGAGACTCAACAAAAGATTAAGAGACGGGATTGGTTGGGTCTTCTTTCATTTGGAGCACCACAATCGAACACGGGATACGTGCCTATAAACGGAGAAGAATCTTCTGGTCGTAGGGATCAAAACGTATCAACTACCAGTAACGGATCATCATTTTCCAGCAACAACCTTCAGCCAGAATTGAAAGATCTACCAGAACCCGACGCCCCTTTAGAACATCTCGTTAATTCCCGCACTGTCTGGATAGGCCTCATCCTCTCCATCGTCTTCTGCATATTTAGCATCCGCATCGTATTCGAAGGATTAATTCCCCTCTACGCAACCATCATCTCCGTCCCAGTAGCCCTTGTTCTCTCAATAATGGGCGTCCGCGCTCTCGGAGAAACAGACCTCAACCCCGTTTCCGGAATCTCAAAATTAGCCCAACTATTTTTCGCCCTCATAATTCCCCAAAGCAACAAAAACTCTATCCTCATAAATCTCGTTGCCGGCGCCGTTTCCGAAGCAGGCGCCCTCCAAGCAGGTGATCTAATGCAAGATCTCAAAACTGGTCATTTGTTGGGCGCAGCGCCAAATGCACAATTTTGGGGTCAAATCATTGGCAGTGCTGTCGGTGCAGTGGTTAGTGCGCTCATCTATAAACTTTATACAAATGTATATCAGGTTCCGGGAGATTTGTTCCAGGTTCCAACGGGGTATGTTTGGATTTTCACGGCGAGATTGGTCACGGGAAAAGGATTACCAGACATGGCTGCGCAGTGGGCGATGGGAGCAGCCGTCATTTTCACGGGAACGACGTTGTTAAGGATATGGGCGAAGGGGAAGAGAGTTTGGTGGTACGATTATGTTCCTGGGGGGATCGCGGTGGCTGTTGGTATGTTTCCTTTATTTCTTTTGCTTCCCCTCTTTTCTCTTCCTCTCCCCCCACAACAACCAACATATCAATAAACTAACCACCTCAAAAAGGTATGTACAACACCCCCGCCTTCACGCTCGCCCGCGCAATAGGCGGTTTCATCAATCTCTACTGGCGCTCCTATCGCAAACAAGAAGAAACCCCCATCGTCGTCTTGGCGAGCGGATTGATTCTCGGAGAGGGCGTGGTCAGTATTGTTAACTTGGGATTGGCGAGCGCGGGGGTGCCGCATTTGTGAGGAGGCGAGAACGGAGAGGGATGCGGAGAGTGGTATATAGGTTTCATTTGATTTGAATTATTTTGGTTGGCTTAATTTATAGGCTGGGTTCGTTGGATTGTGATTGGAATTTGAGTTTGAATGTGAATTTGATTATTTGGGGATGGAGATGGGGGTGGGGGTGGGGGTGGGTATAGATAGGTGGTTCTGAGTATAGGTATATAAAGATGAATGTAATATAGTTTATCAATGCGTGCACCACTTTTACCTCATTTTACACTTTCAAATTTATATTATTTAATAATAATTGAATCAATTAATTAAAACTATTTAGAATTTAATAATCTAGAATCTATTATATTATTTTAATAGATTCTTATATTATAATCTATTTTTTTATATTTATTATAATATTAAATAAAAAATGCTTTTTTATTAGATTTACTCTTTTTTTAATATTTATTATATTAATTTTGAATATTAATTTTTTATTGAAATAATATATTAAGAGTTTTTTGTTTAATAAATATTTTTCTTTAATATAATTAGATTTTTTATATATATTAATATTTATTTAATACTTTATTTATTATTCAAAATATATAAATCTTTGTATTTAAAAATATATTTTTATAAACTAATTATTTTATATCTTTAATTAAAATTAGTATAATTTCAAATATAGATATAAACAAATTTAATCAATAATAAATTATTTAAGATTTGATTAATATTAATTGAAAAAGAGCTTTATTTAGATTATAAAAGATTTAAGAGATTTATTAATTTAAATTAAAGAAGGAGAAAATAGATATATAAATTCAAATATCTAATTTCGAGAATATAGTTTTAGAATTAAATAAGATTAAATCTATTTTTTGGAATTCTGATTTAATATTCTAAAAGATAATTGATTTTTTATATATAACTTTAAAAACTATAAAGAATTTAATTTTTGAAATATAATTGATATATATCTTAATAAATCTATTAATTTGATTATTATATAAATATTTTAAATTACTAAAACAATCTATATCAAATAATTGAATTAAATAATTTGAATATAATAGTAAATATATACATTTAATATCATTCTTTTTATAATAATTTTGAAATAATATTGATTTATAACTTTTATATTTATTTAATATTAATATTCGATATTTACTTTTTCTTCAATTTTTAATATATTTATTAAAATGTTTTAATTATTCTAAATCTATTTCATTATTTATTCATTTATTAAATATAGATTTAATAATTTAGTTTATAAAAAGACTAGTTTTAATATATCAATTAAAGAAATAAATCTATTTTTAAATTATTAGAAATAAAGGAATAATTTTATTCTTTTTATTCTTATATATTATTACTATAATTCATTCTCGATTGTTTAATTATACTAATTTATTTCTATTATATTTTCTAATATTAATAATAACTATTGTTATATATATAATTTCTATTATAAAGTCTATTTCATCGAAATTATAGAAATCTTTATCCAAAATACTATATTTTGTTTGTATATTTATAACTAATCAAACCCATTTTTTAAGAAGTTTAGAATCCTTACAAAAAACTTTTTAAAAATTATAAATATAATTAAAATATATCTTTAATTTTTTATATCATTTTACAAATCAATATGCTCAAAGTTTTTCAATAGTTTTTTCTTTTTCTCGATTCGAGAATATAATTTATTATATCTTTTATTCCTTTAAATTTAAAAGAAAAACCTTTTAAATTTATATTAAGAATATATAAAATAATTATTTGCTCTTTTATTTTAATAAATTCAAATTCTATAATCAAAATTTAATTACAAAAATTGTTTTAACATGTTTTATCACCGAGTGGATCACTCAATTTACATACAAAATTCGTCTATATATAACCATACACTTTATTTATTTATTAATAGAATTTTTTAAAAATTTAACATATAAAATCTGATTAAAAGCTTATTATAAAAATCTAATTTTTTTCGAATATTCAAATTAATATAAGAATTATT